TTCACTTTTAACTCAGCAACCAGGAAAGCTGGAAGGTTGAAACTGAAGCAGTGTACTTCCATCCCGTATACTGCTCTGGCATCGCTACCTGGATTTGGTATTTCATAAAATGTTTTCAAATTAATGCATTGTTTTTTTTTTGTTTTTTTGTAGGATTCAAGCCGAACACAACCGTTGATCCAGCAAATGTAGCAGCTCTTCCGAAAGAGGATTTATTTCATCCTGTGCGTTGTAACATTTGCTCGACGAGTGTTGGAGTTTACGATTGTGATGAAGTTTTTCATTTCTTTAACGTTTTGAGTGGATATGCTTGATTTTGCGTTGTTGTCGTGCAGTTCACAGTGTTTCTTTGATCTTTTTTTTAACAAGATGGTCTGAATGTTTGATGTAATTTTTTTGCATCCACATATTAATTTTGTGCTCGTAAGAATTTGCTTTTGGAGCATTTCACTATTTTCCCCCGTTTTGATTCTCGTCAATTTCAGCTCTGTTTTTTTTTTTTTAAATCGAGACTTTGAACTAATAGACCAGAAGGATTGTACTCAGGTGTCATGTGTAAGGTGACATTTTACGGTGCAAAATTGCAGATTGGATGTTGTTTTTGTAATATTTTGCTCTCAGATTTGAAATATATGTTACTCTTTTGAGAGGACATCTTCAGAGGTTGAGACTTCCTTTTTATTTTACAAAGTAAAGTAAAAGACAGGCAAGCAGAAAACCTCTCGTCTTTCTGTGTCGGTATCTGTAACAGCTGAGAAGACTCTTGCAGACAGTGATACAGAAGGAAGAGGAGGAAGGTTGTCTGTGGCGCGGCCGGTGCTGGTTCGGGAGGTGATAACGGTTGCAGATACCATAAGCTGCATATGAGCGGGGCTTTCGGTTATCCCGTTTCCTTGGGAATATTCTGTTCCCTATCTTCTTCATTTTCTTTTTTCTTCCTTTCTTTTCCTTCTTTTTTTCTGAACACCAGGACTGTCATACTGACGGGGTCCAGTCGTGGTGTTGAGCTAAGACGTATATGACTTTATGGACCGAAACGGGTTACCTCATTCGTTCTTTGTTCCATTTTTTCCTGCTCCGAAGACTGAGCTTAAACTTTCCTTACTTTGACACCCAAGATCAATCTGGACGCTACAGTCGGCTTGCTCAAAAATCGAGTTGAACAGGATTTGATTCCCTTTGAGTATTACTTTATCAATGATTTAAAGAGGGATTGGTCTTCTGGCAGATCAGAATCAATGACTTGAGTATTGAGAACTGTTTTACACGGGACCGTTTCTTGTCGACAGTTTTGCTTGACTGTGCGCTGTTAAAAACTTGTAGTTTTGAAGTTCTGCGGAACTGCGGGGGATTAATTAGCAATGGGAACTCGAGAACAGCCGCATTTTCAAGAAGCGAACGAGCGTATGCTGGAGCCAATGATTCGGCTACCGCTTGTGGATATGCTTCGAAGACTGAGCTCAAAACAAGGTAACTGTATGTACCATTGAAGCGAGATTCTGCGCTAACTTCAGATTTGGACGTATTTAAGGCAAGTAAGAGGTGAAGCTCCATCACACTATCCCGGAATCCGTGCAATGCAGAAATGCATATTGTCGAGGATTTTTTCTGTACTTTTGTTTGTATGCGCGAATGTGAGTGTGTGCGTGTCTGTGTCTGTCTGTGCGCTTGTATCGGTTTTTCATCTCGAGATCCACAAAAGCTGCACTGTTGAAAATGTGACAACGTAGTTTACACTATATAAGGCCCCCTTTCGACAAAGTGAACACCCAGTCCACGTGGTTCTTATGTACGGTCACGTGAAAGTTTTTTGGCTGTCATCCAGTGCTTTTTCGAAAGTGGTTGGGGCTATCAGTGCAGTTGACTGTATTGTTCTGCGTCTGGTTCTTCAACTCGATTGGGCACGCAAGCTGAAAATTCGTTAAGATTCGGTCATCTTTTTTATTAACGCCAAATAGTAGATCCCATAGAAAAACTTTCTTTAGCGTATCAAATTCATTTAATGCTATTGACTTTGCTAAAAGTGTTAGAGGACATAATTTTACGATAGTGGTGGATTCTTCTAATCTCTTTACGATTTTTCATCTCGAAACCTGCAAAAGCAGAAGTGTTGAAACGATTCCGAGGATGAGGCCTACTAGAAGGTTGAAACTTTGTTCCTTGCTCACGTTTGACCCAAGGGATCCAAATTTAACTGCTACACAACCCCGGACTTCACGTGGATTAAAGCTTTAATTGACGTAAGACCAACTCTGGAATTAGACTTGGTATAAGGCTGCAGAGAGCTATAATTTTATGATGTTGTTTACCACCCAGAGGCGTACTCGTGAAAATAAATTGAGCCTTTCAGTTCCCATATATCTCACATACGGACACGTGAAATTTGACATAGACAAATTTGTAACCTGCAAACTGAAGCAGCTAGAAGGCTGAAACTTTCTGAGCATAGCCGACAGCTGTATTTGGGCATGTGGGCGTGAAAGCAACCTTCATGTCTTTTCGATTTCTCACATACAAACGTGAAATTTGACGTAACTCCGTAACCGAAGCAACTAGAGCGTTTTAATTTTTTGTGCGTAACCCTTGGGCCATGTTCGGAATGGAATTGCTAAAATAACATTCAGTTTTTTCGTCCCACTGTGATCACGTGAGATTTTGACGTGGCCGCTGAACCAAGACAGTCAAAGTGCTCAGGTTTCCTGTGCATGGCCTACAACCGTATTAGGGTAGTCACACATACGAAAAACACTCATTTTTCCTCCTCACTTATGGACACATGGAATTTGACGTAGCCTCGCAACCAGAGCAGCTACATTGCCAAAATTTTCAGAGGATAACTCAAGACTGTCTTTGGGCTGATGCACGTAGGGGGAAATTTCCATGTCTCCCCTTCTCCCCTCACGTACGAACACGTGAAGTTTAAAGTAATCTTTCAACTAAGGCAGCCAAAATGTTGGAATTTTTCGAGTGTAGTCCGAAACTGCGTTTAGGCGAGCACATGTGCAAACATCACCCAAGTTCCCGTCACCAGCAAACATGTGAAATTTGTCGTAACTCTGCAACCAAAACATCCGAAGTGCTGGATTTTTTGAGCGTAATCATGGTCGTTTTTGTTGGGAATCATTGCAATAATTTTGACATCCGTAGTGATCAATGTCAATTCTTTTAGCTAGAAACATCTGCGGGAAAAAAACAGTGCCGCTAGGAATAAAAACTTGCGAGGGCGAGAGGAAGGGAGGGGGGAGGTTGGAGTGGGAGTTATGCAAAAAATGCATCTTCGCACCGGTAGTGGGTATCTCAACACCGGAGCCGCATATGGCAGAGTTTTAAATTTGATACTGGCGCATTTCTTCCTAAACGTATGATCGGTTTTTTTGAAATAGAAGAATAGGAGGATTTCACTTGAATGTCATGTGTATGAAGACATTTTATGACGCAGTCTCTGTGTTTCATCCCTTAGCTGTATACACAGACCGAACAGTGCATGCGGGTTGGAGTGGGAATCATCAGTACAGCCTCCTACCCGCAATGTTTTGAATAGTCATGTGTCTAATTTGCAAGACAAGTAACAGGAAGAAATAGATGAGTGAAGGAGCAAACAAAGTGAGGAAGGAAGGAAAAAAGGGAAGTTAAAGAAAAAAGAAAATTCGGGCAGAATATGAGTAAGTTGGAGGACCGAACGAGGAGTAAAATAAGCTTCCGGCAGTGCGCAGCATTCCCTCTTAGTGGTAACTTCAGCTGTGAGCACAGCAGATCGAACAGTCACTTCTCCAGTCAAAATTTCAGCCTCCCATCTTTAACACTTATAATTTTTGGGTGCTTTTCTAATTGATTAACTTTCGCGCTCGGGAACCAGGAAAGCTGGGAGGCTGAAATTTTAAAGGGATGTTCATAACTTAAAGATTCCAAACCCAGCTCCCAAGTATGCTCCCAGGTCACGTGCGGCCCTATCAGATAAGCTTTCTTATAAGCAAGTCTCGGAAGAGGGGGGCAGTGGCAGCCTTTTGCTACTGGGTGCTTTCATGGCACTTGCTATTCTTGGAATGTTTCTGAGTGTCTTGGCTTCTCACGGGCACTCTGAAGATTTTGGCGTTGACTTCTATCCTTTTAAATAGCCCTTGGAAAAGAAGACACTGGCAGAAATACTACGAATTTAGTTTGGACTAGTGAAATGAAGTGGAATGTAGTTGTAGTAAAACCAAAAACAAGGGACGAAGCAAGATTATAGAACAGCATATGTTGTAAAAAAGATATAGGGCATGTAGTGAAAATATGTGTGAATGTTGATTGTAGACTTTGTTGTCTGTGTTTCATCCCTAAGCTGCAAACACAGACAGTATTCGGTGTGGAATGGGGTGAGAATCATCAGTGCAGCCCTCAAACTACTATGTGAAAGAGTTGATAACGAATTGGTAAGGTAGGAGAAGAGGCTGAAAAGAAAGGAAGAATTGAGGAAATAGGTGATGATGAAGATGGAGAGTTTTCGAGAGAAGTGAGAAAGATAGTGAAGTCTTGTTATATCATTTTGATAGCATTTTTCGTAGGGATTTTGACTTTTCCAGACACAATATGTGGCTTTTTCGAATCACAGTACTGGCACTGCCTGGAAGCATTTGGTCAAAAGCTTGGACGAAAATACTGCGATTTGGAACGCCGCGATTTTAATGAATGCATCACCAATTATAAACAGGTCTTTTTATTTTTTTTTATGCATTTTGTGCTGTGTAACAACGTTACAAAACGCATATTGTCACGGGTTTGTCTGTGCGTGTGTGTGTGTGTGTGTCCCACATTTTATCCCGCACTTTGAACTGGTAAACCACAAAAGCTAGGAGGCTAAAATTTTGGTATAGTGTTCCTCGCCAACGGGTGACGCAGCAAATTTAAATTCAGCCTTCCCGTACCCGCGGGTAACTCGTACGGCCCCGTGAAAGTTTTTCATGGGTAAATCAATATCTCTGAAACCACGGAGTCTAGGAAGCTGAAATTTTAGGGTAATAACTCCCTGCCCACGCTCAACTTTGCCTATTCAAATTCAGCGTTCCCTCGCCGTTGAGTATCACCTACGGCGTCGCGAGAATTTTGGCGGTTAAACTATTAACCCGGGAATCACGGAAAGATATTCGCCCTTTAAGGTTTCGAATTCAGCTTTCACGCGCTGGTGCGTGAAATTTTTAACTATTTTCCAATTTTCGAACTATTTTTGCATAGACAAAAGTACAAAGCGGTGAAAATCATTAATAAGGAATCGTTCGATGGGCTGAATTGCACAAAACGCATGATCACACCGGCCAGTCTGGTGCGCGTTGCTATTTTTTTTTTTTTTTTTTTTTTTTTTTTTTT